CCTTGCAACAAGAAAATCTATCAGTTAAAGCAGAAGTGCGAGTATCTGTCGTACAACTGATTGCAACAAATTGCAAGCCTACCTTGCTTATTGTGCACTTTTCCAGAGAAACAAAACTGTTTTTTCAGGTTATAGACTGTCATATTACTTAAAGCAAAGTGACTGGAATTATATATTGTATTATTCCAACAGAATGGACACAATTGAGACGTTTCACACTAGAGAATTTTAAGATACAGTTAAAAACGAAACGATTCCATACCCGCAACATTCTCCTGCCTCTCGTCTCCGAAACAAATTCCCATTACAGCAATGATCATTTATTTTGTGGAAGTACGATTTATTGCCACCTGAAAGATATCAATATCAATATCAGTCAATACCAGTGTCAGTCATATGGGAATCGTGTTAGTTGCAATCAAAGCCAAACTTTGTATAAGATATATATGTACAATAAATAAATAGTAGATTAACAGTGAGTTTCTCATTACATTCTAAAGGTAAATCGTAGTTTGACTCACATTTGGACAACGATCCATGTTCAGGATTCATCAATCTCATCATTTTTACTGCAGCTCCAAGATGTCTTAGCCAAACGGAATATTGACCTTGTGCTTTTAGTTTGCTTCCACGCCACAAACTTGTTGTGCATAGATATTTCAGGACCTCTCGATTCAATTCAGTTATGATGTTTTTAATCTTCTTTTTGCAAATACACCGAAGGACCCTGTTTTTATTCTTAATCTTGTTTTCATTTGACGTTGGGACGCCTTTATGCGAAACCTTTCCACAAAGTAAGTATCTTAGCATTAAAAGACTTTTAATGATATTGCGCTTACACCGAAGAACATTTAATTCACATAGTTGATTACCATATCTTCTTTGATGGAAATTTTTTGCTATCGAGCCCCTGTTTTTACTTAAACAATTCAGGCGCTTTAAATGACCCTTGATTTTGTAATTGTAATACAATTTTGTTGACTGTCCTTTCCTCTTTAATGTTTTTTCGCTTTTGCCTTTCTTTCTTGATAAAGGTACCCTAGTCCCTAATCTTCTGTGCTTTCTTGCAAGAAACTGTCTTCTTTTTGAACTCTTGTTTCTGCTTAATCCAGGAGGTCGCTTAGAAGAAAACTGAGCTTTGTTTTTGTAATATGCTGCTGTTGACTGTCCTTTTCTCTTAAGGCTTTTGCTTTTTCTTCTAGATACATATACCTTAGTCCCAAATCTTCTGTGCTTTCTTGCAAGAAACTGTCTTCTTTTTGAACTCTTGTTTCTGCTCAATCCAGGAGGTCGTTTAGAAGAAAACTGAGCTTTGTTTTTGTAATATGCTGCTGTTGACTGTCCTTTTCTCTTAAGGCTTTTGCTTTTTCTTCTAGATACATATACCTTAGTCCCTAATCTTCTGTGCTTTCTTACAAGAAACTGTCTTCTCTTTGAACTCTTGTTTCTATTGAATCCAGGAGGTCGCTTAGAAAAATACTGAGCTTTGTTTTTGTAATATGCTGCTGTTGACTGTCCTTTTCTCTTAAAGCTTTTGCTTTTTCTTCTAGATACATAGGCCTTAGTCCCTAATCTTCTGTGCTTTCTTGCAAGAAACTGTCTTCTTTTTGAACTCTTGTTTCTGCTTAATCCAGGAGGTCGCTTAGAAGAAAACTGAGCTTTGTTTCTGTAATATGCTGCTGTTGACTGTCCTTTTCTCTTAAGGCTTTTGCTTTTTCTTCTAGATACATATACCTTAGTCCCTAATCTTCTGTGCTTTCTTGCAAGAAACTGTCTTCTTTTTGAACTCTTGTTTCTGCTCAATCCAGGAGGTCGTTTAGAAGAAAACTGAGCTTTGTTTTTGTAATATGCTGCTGTTGACTGTCCTTTTCTCTTAAGGCTTTTGCTTTTTCTTCTAGATACATATACCTTACTCCCTAATCTTCTGTGCTTTCTTACAAGAAACTGTCTTCTCTTTGAACTCTTGTTTCTATTGAATCCAGGAGGTCGCTTAGAAAAATACTGAGCTTTGTTTTTGTAATATGCTACTGTTGACTGTCCTTTTCTCTTAAGGCTTTTGCTTTTTCTTCTAGATACATATACCTTAGTCCCTAATCTTCTGTGCTTTCTTGCAAGAAACTGTCTTCTCTTTGAACTCTTGTTTCTATTGAATCCAGGAGGTCGCTTGGAAGAATACTGAGCTTTGTTTTTGTAATATGCTACTGTTGACTGTCCTTTTCTCTTAAGGCTTTTGCTTTTTCTTCTAGATACATAGGCCTTAGTCCCTAATCTTCTGTGCTTTCTTGCAAGAAACTGTCTTCTTTTTGAACTCTTGTTTCTGCTTAATCCAGGAGGTCGCTTAGAAGAAAACTGAGCTTTGTTTCTGTAATATGCTGCTGTTGACTGTCCTTTTCTCTTAAGCTTTTGCTTTTTCTTCTAGATACATATACCCTTGTCCCTAATCTTCTGTGCTTTCTTGCAAGAAACTGTCTTCTTTTTGAACTCTTGTTTCTGCTCAATCCAGGAGGTCGTTTAGAAGAAAACTGAGCTTTGTTTTTGTAATATGCTGCTGTTGACTGTCCTTTTCTCTTAAGGCTTTTGCTTTTTCTTCTAGATACATATACCTTACTCCCTAATCTTCTGTGCTTTCTTACAAGAAACTGTCTTCTCTTTGAACTCTTGTTTCTATTGAATCCAGGAGGTCGCTTAGAAAAATACTGAGCTTTGTTTTTGTAATATGCTACTGTTGACTGTCCTTTTCTCTTAAGGCTTTTGCTTTTTCTTCTAGATACATAGGCCTTAGTCCCTAATCTTCTGTGCTTTCTTGCAAGAAACTGTCTTCTTTTTGAACTGTTGTTTCTGCTCAATCCAGGAGGTCGTTTGGAAGAATACTGAGCTTTGTTTTTGTAATATGCTACTGTTGACTGTCCTTTTTTCTTAAGGCTTTTGCTTTTTCTTCTAGATACATACACCTTAGTCCCTAATCTTCTGTGCTTTCTTGCAAGAAACTGTCTTATTTTTGAACTCTTGTTTCTGTTCAATCCAGGAGGTCGTGTGGAAGAATACTGAGCTTTGTTTTTGTAATATGGTGTTGTTGACTGTCCTTTTCTCTTAAGGCTTTTGCTTTTTCTTCTAGATACATATACCTTAGTCCCTAATCTTCTGTGTTTTTTTGCAAGAAACTGTCTTCTCTTTGAACTCTTGTTTCTATTGAATCCAGGAGGTCGCTTAGAAAAATACTGAGCTTTGTTTTTGTAATATGCTGCTGTTGACTGTCCTTTTCTCTTAAGGCTTTTGCTTTTTCTTCTAGATACATATGCCTTAGTCCCTAATCTTCTGTATTTTCTTGCAAGAAACTGTCTTCTTTTTGAAACAATCGTCTTGCTTTGTTTTTGTAATATGCTGCTGTTGACTGTCCTTTTCTCTTAAGGCTTTTGCTTTTTCTTCTAGATACATATACCTTACTCCCTAATCTTCTGTGCTTTCTTGCAAGAAACTGTCTTCTCTTTGAACTCTTGTTTCTATTCAATCCAGGAGGTCGTTTGAAAGAATACTGAGCTTTGTTTTTGTAATGTTTCATTGCGAGGTACCCTTTTCCCGTCCGATGTTTTTCTGTCGATTTTGAAAGCCCTGTCTTGGTCTTTCTTTTGGTCATATTTCTTAGGTAAAACCCTTTCATATTTCGTTGTGCTACATTCTGGAAACCGTTAATAATCTTTGTCTTCGCTCTCCCGCGATTTCTGTTGCGTTTTCCTTGAGTGTCTATGCCTTTCCCTTTACTTTGGGCTTGTTTTGTTTGGCATTTCTTATTTCCATACCTGCAAATGCCTATGCTATCTCTCTGAAAGTTATTATCTGCGTCATCTGATCCTAAATATTCGTTGCCACTGTCATTGCCTATGGTATCAAGACCCAACGACGCATCATTGTGTAGACGGATGTCATTATCCAGCTTTTCGATGTCAGAGAGGGCGTTTGTTGGGCTACATCTGAGGCCAATCTGGAAACATGCAGCAGCAGCTATCCATACTGGTAAAAGCATCCTCGTCGAAAAGAAGATTAAGTGTTAATCTATTATAATTTATAATTCATAAACAAAATAAATATAAATTTACCGGAAAGTGTTCGTTTTCAAGACTTTTGATAGATCTGTACTCTTAAAAGTCACTCTTTTCTGTATTTGACGTTTGCGTCGCACAGAGCTAGCTTCGTAAACATAGCTAAGGTTAGTCAGTCTCAACTGAAGATCATTGAAAAACATGCTTTAGTCAAAAAGTTGTTTTCTAAGAGCAAATTCAACATTCGGTTCAAATTGTGCGGGAAAGTAATGCTTTGGTATTTCGGACAAGCAGGAAAATGAAAATGCATTCATCTACGGAAATTACCTCTTTTGTGTAGAAAAAAGTTTTCTAGCTGTCTGAAAAAGATTCAAAAGGATCCCTGATCAAAGAAAATGTAAGAAATTGAAATGTTTAACACAGCAAAGTAATTTTTTGTAAATGATGCATATTTCATTTTCTGCCCTTTTCATCGTTGACGAATTGCGTCAGTTTTTATACGGCTGAAGCAGTGGACGTGAGCTTCTCATCGATCTTCAAGCCTTCAAAATGTGTATATAAAGTACCTGAGCGCAGAAGAAATTGTACCATTATAGTTCTCTTAAAAGAGAAAGATGGGCTACATTTTCTCCCAGTGGAATTTAGCGATTTTTTCCGTCAGTAACACAAGCATCAATGCCGACCAGAAAAGCTTTAACGCAAGAAAAGAGTATCACATGGATGCAAAAAGCTAAACTTTTGGCAACATTAAAGACACTTAATAGCTGTGAAATCATGTGAAAAGCAGTTAACAGTAGAAAAAAGCAGAAAAATTACTCAAAACCATTTCATAAAAGAAGTTTACTCACTTGACTGCCGGCAGTATCATGCAGTGATGTCACTGCAAAGATCATACCATCCAACCTGCCCTCTGTTTAAAATCTTTCCTTTTTATAAGCAGCGAATGTGAAAATAAACGACCTATTCACACCTTCTCAGTTTCAATATAAGTAACAAGTTAGCGCAATAGATAATCAATTAATGATGCAATTAAAAACAGGTATTATGGCAATTTTGACAATCTAAGGCAATACATCAAAAATATCTAGGCAAATTGACTCCTCATTCATGCACAATGTGAAGGTTTAGTGTTGGACCAGTTGCTAAACTATACAGCAACAACTAAAAGTGGACAAGAAACAACAAATATAAATACACAGTGAAGTGTTAATTTACCTATCTTAAAAATTAATTAAAGCAAAACCAGCTGCTCTGCTAATGGAAGCAAGTCTATTGTTTCTAATCAGGACGTGGATACTATTTACCTTTTTGTCAAGTTATTTCAAAAACTGGCATTGCCTCTTGATGCATCAAGCAAGGTTTCCTGCACTTTGTCTATAACTTAACTTACATATACGTGAAAAAAGACGAAATATTTACACTAAATCCTCCAAAACATATCAGTTTTAATATCAAGATTTCATACATTTATTAATTTTTCTTGCAGCTTTCATAATATAGACGCTATACCATAAAAGTTTATCATTAACAATCTGCGATATTTCTTGCTAGAATGCTAAAAAAGTAAAAGACCTAGAGGCTGGATAGAACTGATAGAACTGCTTGGTGCAGTTTTGAAAGCTGCGTGGATCGTAGAAAGATCATTGTTTAACGAAACAAAAGCGACTTTTTCTCAGCATCTGACATACTAAATCGCAACCATGATAAAACAGAAAAAGCTTTAAAGGCAATAGGCCCAGAGACTAGGTTCTTGCTCTGGAATAGAAGTAACTCATGATCAAACAACTCTCGATTACATCCTAGGAGGGGGGGGGGGTATGTCTCGGTATGAGACTTAGTCAGAGCGGATCTAAATATATGGTTTAAGATTATGAATCTAAATATAAGCTTTTAAATTCATTTTGTACAACAGTACTTACTGATGCACTGACAGAAAGTGTTACTGTGAAATGAAGCTATCTAACGACATAAACACAGTTCAAGAATCCTACAGGCAATATCCAAGCAAATTAGTCTTCAACACTTGACACAAAATCTAACTAAACCAAAATACGAGTACATTAACATAACACAAGGAAAGCTGTCCCCATGTAAAAAAAGCTTTCAGCGTATGCTTTGAAATAAGAAATCATATTAGATGCCACTTAAATATTTGCTTTAAAATTGCAATACCCTGCTGCTTTAGTGCAAAATATAACATTTTCGATCTACTTCTTTAGAATCTGCCCACTGGTATTAACATGACCTTCAAATCATCAAAAAAAATTTTAACGCCAGAGCCAAATTTAAAAGCATATAACAGCTATGATACTTGATACAGCTGTTCAGTTCAAATTCATAGACAATGCATAACATTGAGTAATGTGCAAAGGAGGTTTCACGGAACCTTTTTATTTCACAAAGTCGTACTTCAAAAAAATAAACTATGTTGATTATTAAAAGCCCATTTGATTTTGTTTGTAAACATTCAGTCAATTTCAGAATTGTGAAGCTTCTTTACCGATCCTTGCAGCATCAACGATGGAAGATGACAGATAATGCATCAACGGCCGCTAAGCATCCCTTTGCAATAAACTACTCCTAATTCGGGAGGGAGTCTGTTGTTGCCATGGCAGCAGATAGTGTACGATTGCTGTGAGTCGTGCAGCGTCCTTGTGAAGCAAAATATCAACGAGGCCTTGCCAGTGATCGAACTCGATACAAGAGCTCTGTTCGAGCTGTATTCGATCTTTGCCACGTTGCAAGTAGTGCATTCGCCAGAACTCTAGTAGGTCCCTTGAAAAGAGAGCAAATGCTGATCTACTTACGTCACAAAAAATTACAGCAAACGGATAAAGATATAAACCAGTCCTACCAGAACTTAGACATAAAAAAAGCGCAACCATAACTGCTGATAACCATTTCAACGACTTCAAAAATGTACAAAATATTAAGAAATCATATTTTCTAAAAAAAATATTGGGTTTATTTCTTGATTGAAGTGATCACAGTATGGTAGGAAATTATACTGAAATGTGAGGGTTAGCCTGGTACTGTCAGGGAGATTTTAAATAATTTTTCCTCTGACGGTTTATGTAGCTATTAAGCTTACCTTAAGTTTAGAAGAATGAGTCCAGGGTGGTGTTGAGCTTGCTCTTCAGAAAAAAAGGCCTTGAAAATAAAATTACATACCGATATAAGAAGAGATGTATCGAAAGACGACGAAAGAGCTTTCACAAAACAAATGGTCATCCGAGAAACGAGTTTAAAATGGCATAACAATAACGAGAAGACCATTGTGATACTCTCAGGTTTGCAATAGGTAGGGTGGCTGGAAGAATTCCTTAGAGGAAAAGCAAGTGTGGTTGGAAGAATTCCTTAGAGGAAAAGCAATGTGGTTGGAAGAATTATTTATGAAAATCAATAGAATTTGGTTGTTTTTGGTTCAAATTTATAACGAGAAAGGACTTCTCCAAATCTGAGATTCTCCTCCTTGTGAGGATTTATTTTGCATGACAGTATTAGGACTAGAAACAAAAAAGAGCTAAATAACAAGTTTAAAAACAATGAAACTACGAAAAAGTAAAAAATGTTTAAAAATAAAAGAAACAAGAAGTTTTTATCAATTTATTTTTGACTCACAAATAACATAAAATAAAATTTGGGTATTTTAAGGCAACAGGAGGCTAACATACCTGCAAATATTGTCCCAGCTGGCCATGATTATGAGCAAACATCAAGAATATCAAAGTGGTGTTTAAGCAACTGACATTTTCCTACAAAAGAAGACATCTGTACTTAATAAGAATTGTTAAAGATAGATATGATAAGCAAGAAATATGACTGAAAACATTGAAGGAGTTGAGACGCATTTTGAATGGAGGAAAAAGCATAAATTTATTTGCGTGGCAATTTTTCTTTGAAAAATGTAAAGAAGGATGAAATAATCACCTGTGTTAAATTATCCACTGAAATCGAAGTGATTAACTTGTACATAAGATACATTTTGTGCTCCCATTTTTTGATGAGATCACTCAGCCTACAGGAATTTTGGCGAAGAAAGGCGCAACTTGACGAAGAGAACCGTTCCAGTGAAAGAACAATGCATCGAATGAACATATTAGAGTCGATTACATTTGACGTCATCGTTGAAATAAAGCGGTCGAACTAGAAGATAAACATAATTACTTTCATTTATCAATTCAATTGTCTACGTCAAACATCGTTGTAAATACATCAAGATGAAATAACGCAAGGAGGAAACATTTTTGACGAATCAGAAAAGTTCGTAATAAATTTCACCTTACCATATACCATGAGCGGTTCAAAATACCAAAAGGTCCGAAAGCGAGAGAAATAACAATTAAGAAACTTTCCAAGTAACAAATAAAACTAAAATTCCGGCAGCAAGTGATTTCGTCATGAACATTTTTTTCAAAAACTTGCAAGGCCTAACAGCTTTAGGATTTTATCATAAGGTCTACAGTTGCAAAAACACAGTACCTGAGCATCTGCATTGAAGTAGGTATTAAACCTTTTGAAGGCTTCTTCGTTAAATTTCATTAATTCACCCAGAAGATCGAAACTGCTCTGGAGAATTTCTTTAGATTTGGTTTCTGGGTTGTTAATGTGCTCTAGCAAATGCTAAGAAAAAACAACAATATTCTTCAGCGTAGAATTATAGATATTAATGCAATTTTCAACATTTAGCAGAAGGAAAACACCATTACAAAATGCTGGAAATGAGAGCTTGCCAATTGATAAAGTATAACAATCAAATTGGAATTGTGCAGTAAAGAGGATAAATTGAGACCTCAATGACATCACGATTGATGAGGAAATGCTGATCGGGTGGCGAGACACGACCTCTTAAGAACCCTTCGATTGCCCGTGACAACCAGAACCTATTTGAAAAAAACGATTTTTAAAATCACGAAAATGACCATCAGCATCTTTTCATTCTTGACGTTTTGGCTACAAAAATTAAATATAAACAAAACAATACAGGTTTGATGAAGAAAAAGCAAAGACATTAGCAAAAATGTTACAAGGTTAGCTTCTTCTTTAAAATTGGATCATCATGTCTTAGGGCAAACATATGCAAAAAAGGTGAGATGAAACTATAATTTGTTCTACCTTAAAGCGTTGTTGGGAGTTGTCCGTTTCAATACATCTAAGATTTTTGTGAGCAATCCTTTTTCTCCACGACATCTCAGTCTAAGTGAGGCAATCAAATTCTAGCTCAAAGCTTAATATGATCAATTTTCTACAAAAATATACACTTTTTCAATGAATCACGGTTACCGTGAAATTTATCCAATCTAAACCCGACAGTAATGTTTGAAAAGATTTCTAATTTAGACTGAATGTATCCAATGCACAAATTTCTTGCTCCAAAACTAAAAAGCTTATAAAATTAAATAGAACCAAGGAATAAGCCACCGCTCGCCTATTCAAGTTGACAATACCTTTTAGATTTATCCAGCCCTTCTGGTACATCAAGCTGGTGATGCTCTAGAATACAAGAGACATACAAATTCTAAATTCTCAATTAACAAATGAAAAAAATTAATCAAAATCGTTATGCCTACCTGCTCTTTTCATTTTCATTTCACAGACACTGTTAACAAGTACGATTGAATTGCAAGCAAATAAAGTTTAGATTTAAAAACACAGCTGTTGAACTTTGAAGCAATGGCTAAGTTTTAAACCAATTTTTCCCTTACGCTAATTCTCAATTGCACTAAACAGTTTCAATAGAAACAGTACCTCTTTAGGTAACAAGGTCTTTGTATTTGTATTTTGATCTACCTAGCACCCGAAGGTAGTTTTTTAGGACACTGAGAAGCTTATGCTTATTGAGCAGTATCCGGGTCCTTCCTCTTGATGTGACCAAACCTAGTGATTCCTTTCCTTGGAATTACAGAGAGCTGGCAACTCTCCTCACTCTGGGTGAAAGTTTGGTCATGCCCGGGACTCGAACCACGGACCCTTGGGTCTGTAGTCAGAGCTTCTAACAACTGAGCTATCCTCGCATCCTGAAAGGTCTTGATACAATAAAATAAACTTACTGCATATTTTGTACATTTCCTCCACTTCACGTGTTGATAACAGCAGATGCTTCTTCCTACAGAAATATTATATAGCAAAACTTAACAGATGAACATATTAGAGACGTTTATTTCAAAGAAATCATTCGAACTTTCATTTTATTGTTTGAAATTGAATTAAAGAAGAAAGTGTCCCAGCTGATCAGTGTTTAGCGATCAGTTTTTTAACACGATCAGTCTTTAAACAAGCGGTCAGTTTTTTAACACGATCAGTCTTTAAACAAGCGGTCAGTTTTTTTGAAATTGAATTAAAGAAGAAAGTGTCCCAGCTGATCAGTGTTTAGCGATCAGTTTTTTAACACGATCAGTCTTTAAACAAGCGGTCAGTTTTTTAACACGATCAGTCTTTAAACAAGCGGTCAGTTTTTTAACACGATCAGTCTTTAAACAAGCGGTCAGTTTTTTTAGCATCAGTGTTTTCGTGACTTGTATGCCACACTCTTTGATTGGTTTGATAACTTAAAAACTGACTGCAGCTAACAAAAGAAGGAAAATTTTGAAACAGGAATTGAAGAGAGAAAGTCCAAAAATTAGCTCCAAGAATAAAGCGGTAAAAATCACAAAGACAGAAACAAAAACTTACTCGCTGTGATCGCAAAAACTATGCACAAATCGCAGAAACTGTATTTTCAATGCACTTTCCTGCAAATAAAATAAACAAAACAACACGTCAAAATAAAAATACGCAAGAAAATTTGACTTATCGAAAGAAAATTTGAGAAATACTTTACGGAAGAACCAAGAAAAAGCTTACTGGAGTACAATCACAGTCCTCAGCCTCGGAATGATTGTGAGTGGGGAATCTTTCACTAAAATAAATTCAAAATTTTTCTGAGTTGTGTCTGAAAAATTTGTAGAAATGTGACAAAAATGTGATATGCTGACCTTTAACATAGCAATAGATGATAAGCAGGCTTCAATAACTGGAGACCAAAATGAATTGACTGTTTATCCGATTTACGAACCTTGAATAATTCCAGCCAAGTCGATCAAAAATGTCACTCAGAATTGGAATTAACTTCAAATCACCAAGCTTCGACTGACCTGAAACGCAAAATCAAATTTTAAAAGAAAAGCAACACACAAGGAAATCGCGAAAGAGGTATGGAAAGAAGAAAAATGGCCAATAAGAAAACGATAAGAAATCAAGGGCACATAGCAAAAGATGGACATAAAAAACTTTATTAATCCAATAACAAGACGGAGTTACCTCGACCTTGCCCTTGCCATTTAAAAATAAGGTGAGAATATATAGAATTTCGACTTTGTACATGACCTGCGAAAGAATGTTTTGCCATTAGCAGTGAATTTTTCGTTGCAAAAAAACAAAAACAATGAAAATACTGTCCTATCCTTTTCGACTTTCGTAGTCGTATTGATTTAACGAAACTAAGTTTCCTTTTAGAAACAGTCTTAAAATAATTCTACATTGAAAGAAATTGATGTTAGGATCACATGGAAGGATAGTGATTCGTATGTGGAATTACCTCGTGCACGTATCTGAGTCTCCGAGGAATTACAGACGCCAAATCATCGTCAGCAAGGAGATCGTCGCTAGTTTGAGCACCTTGAATGAACAAAAAATGTCAGTTGTCATGTCAGTATGTCAGTATATGCAAACTGGAATCATGCTTTGTGAAGACATATCATTGTGAAATTTTAATGGAAACTGCCTACCTTGGTTAAAATTCAATGTCGCAAGCTCATCGAGAAACGTTGCCACGTTGGCCGATGTGCCATGTATAATCACATTTTCGAGTCTTCGTCCAGCCGATTCGGAGACTGGTGTGCCTGCTACAAAAACGTTTGCTCTTTTAAACTTAAAATACGAAGAGGTATCTGCTGCTAATGGAGGGTTTTGGATAAAGGCCCACCTCTACTCACCTGTCGCGTACAATGCAGGCATTGCTGGGCTTATCCAACCATGCGCCTTTGATAGATAGCACATGTTTTTTCCTTTTTTGGTTGTGCTTCAGCTTCTTAGTATATAAACCAGATAAAAAATAGAAATGGCAACAAAAATAGCACTTACGAAGATTTTTTCCTGCAACTTTCACCATCCGAACCAAAAATTCTGGAAATGACAGCAGCATGGCTACAAAAAACAGTTTTTGTAGAGCAACCAAAATTCTACAGGCAGTCGTCGCTTGAAGCTCGCTAATGCTTAGCAGCAATTAATCTTATTCGATTGAAAGAAATCAGATTTTTTACACTTGTATTCTGTTCTTTTTAAATTACTAGTGTTGTGCTAGTTCCTAAAAGTGATAAAAAGCAAAGATGGTGATGAATTTAATCCTAGAATGTTATTTAAAAATAGCTTGTCTTTGGATAATTTCAGGTGAAAAAGCTCGCACCTTGGTTGGCATCTGCCACTGACTTCTCTACTGCACGGCGCTTCTCCTCCTCATCTTGCGCTAAAACTAAAAACATTGCTCCTTAGGCAAGAGTTGCGCGGTCTGGGTGACATGCAGCCTATCTAACACTTGACATATCAAAAATATTTTTAGGCTTTTCCTAGTGTCAATCATTCTAAATAGTAACGAAATTGCATTTTCAAGAGAGTAAAAGCAGAAGGCAAAGTCACAGTTTACATAGAGATCCCCTCAGAAAACTGCAAAGAAACGAATTCTGTCAAAAGTGATTACATACGCGTGTTGCGATCCTCTGAAAAGTCAATGTCAGCGATAACAATAGAAAGAATTCTGCAAAAACTAGCGAAATTGTCGTCCCTCAATGAAATGATCAGATTGTGAACATTTGCTAAAAGAAAAATTTCACGGACATGCAGACAAAATGTAGACAAAATCAATACAAAATCAAATTAGTACACTCCATTTAAAAGGGAAACAACTGCTTTCCATGCAACAAAAACTTATGATGCAATGACCTTGGTGCTAAACTCTAATCATTCAAAACCTCTAAGAAAGATACTACAAGATGTAGTACAAAGCCCCATTGGACATTACATCATTAAACAATCGTATCATGTAATCACAGAAAGCCAACAACGATAATCGTACGTGAGAGTCAGAAATTTTTGCAAAGTCGCGAATTTATTTAAAAATGGACTGTAAGAAAGTAGTTTATGGAAATGGAAATTTAATCTTGGTTTTCTTGAAAGATGTGATTCAAACATTTGGCAACGAAAACAACATGCCCTATAGCAGATCAGGTATTTGAAAATAGCACGACAGTGGATGCATACAACACTCGTAAGATATGTTTGTGCATTTCAATGCCATTTTTAAACATTGAGGTGCCAAATTATACAAGTGCTGAGCAATACTCAGGTCTCAGATAAACTGAACGAGTCCATAGACAAGCTTATTAAGAACTTCGACTAATGTGCAACAAACATAGATCATCAAAGTTTCAAATGTTGTTTTACAAATGTAATACTTATGAGACATTTTCAAACTGATTCTTTTCCGGAATTAAAAGGACACTTATATTCAAAAATAATTCCGATTTCCTTTGTATATTCAGATGCAAACAATTACATACCAATTTTGGAAAGTTTCACGATCTTTCGATTCGAAGCTAAAAGGTCTTCTAGTACTACGGAGGCACAGCTGTTGAAAGAAAATCTTTACCATAAAACTGCACAACAGCAAGAAAAATTTTCGACAAGGAAAATTAAAAATAAAAATGAGTTTGTAATGAAATAAAATTCAAAATTGCACTCACGAGAAGGTTTTTCTTTCTTCCATCATTATAAAAAGATATTCTATCAGCTCGTCTTTCTTGCTCGCCTCACTAGTCGCACCATCAACCTAAAAAACCATAAAACAGAAAGCTTGCAATTCTATTGAATTTTCTTCTCATTCAGAATGGCACAAAAAAAGAAGTAAATGTCGGAAAATAGTCAAGATATGGTTAGACAAAGAAAATAGTACAAGCAGTTTTAATGCCCTGAATAACAGTCATATAATGTGTCATTAACAGAAGTACAGATTACTGCTGCACAGTAAACCGAATCAATCTTTACTGAGATGAATACGTGGAAAAAAGATTCATTTACAAATATAATAGATATCAACGCTTGATACATACATTGAGAAAAATGTCGTGCAAGATATCTAAGCACATTGATCTTATCTCCAATTGCAAGGCAGCTGGAAAGAAAACTTTTAGTTGTGAATAGCAGTGTGTAGATAATTAATCAACATTGAGCAAAATAGTTACCTACAAAACAGCCTCGCGTGGAAAACTATATAATTCCTGGTCTTCAGCTAATGTGTGTGGACCTTATTATGATTTCTTACTTTTGGGTTTGTTAATAGGCTATTATGGAATATTACTCTATTGAAGATGGGAATGAATTTCAATGCTGAAGAACGAATGTTGCAGAAGGACGAAGGTCAGTCCACTATGGCTTCATTAGGTCAGTCAATACCGCAACTCTTGATGGGCAAAACTATTTTTTAGAGAACCGGCAATAGCGTTTGCAAATAAATGCCGCCATAAATTGTAATTAAAAATGGCTATATGTATAAACAAGGTGAACTCGTCAATCAGTAGAAACATGAACAATTAGGTGTTTTATTGCTGGAATATTTCATTTTTTATCACTTGTGTTTTGTTTTAAGCCAAAATGGACATTGGTTAAGGCACACCTTGGTGAAAGCATAACTTGGTGAAGGCACATTTTGGCAAAGGCACTATTATCTGGATGTAATTTACAAGAATATTGTAAGCCTACAGCATTGTATATCATAAACTCGTGACAGCTATTAAGTCTCTGAGCAGGAGCATAGAATTCTCTTTATGACATCAAATGATAACTTTCCCAATAACAGCAATTAATAAAACAGACCAAATTTGGCATACATAACAATTAATACTAGGAAGTAAACTTTAAGAGTACACGAGGCGATTAAATCAAAGCATAAAGGATACATTCCATCGGTTTATATAGAGCCCACTGACAGAGAAATTTCGATGAAACAAAGTTTGGTCCACAAATTGCCTAGTTTATCTAAAACTTACTACCATGGCTCAGTAACAATTCCTTGAGATTTGGAATTCAGTTAAACAGACCTTTACAAATGTTTCTTTGCTGTTAAACTTCCTTTTTTTACAGAGCATGGAGAGTCCTTCCGGAGGCACCGGAAACTAGATGATGCTGCGGGGAAAGGAATTGCAGAAAGGGCATCTTGGGGGTGTCAAAGTTCAGGAATCGTCGTTTAGCCAATGATGAAGCCTGGTTGCAGGTGAAGGCCCTGTCTAGGAAGAGAAGGTCTGAGGTCTGGTGGCGTAGCCTCTAGGGAAAATTCGCGTTTCTACGCCCTAAAGACTTTCGAAAATGAGAGAACGTCCATACAAAAACATTTGAATCAAGACTACAGTCAAAGATCATTCTCGTAAATTCTTTCAATTCAACATCAACCATCAAGGGAGACTAAAGCCTGAATACAATGATATAGATATCATTATCTGTTTCTAGATGAGTGTGTAGTTACGCCGAGAGGTTTCGGAAGCCTTGCGGCAGAATCGAAAGAGAAAGCCTTTTGCGAGCGTAGCAAGTAGAAAATTTTTGGCAACCATGCCCTATAGATTACCTAAAAAATTATTTCAGAATGTTTTTTGCAGTCACCTTCTTACAATGGTTTAAAAAGTTGTACAATTTTTTAAAGCAGATCGAATAGAAACATTTTAGATTATGGCCTTAAAATGTCACCCCTTTGCTCACTTTGTATTGCATCTAAGCAATTCAAGGGCACTTTTTGGCTATGCAGTTGGCAAAAAGAGCAGCTCGGTTAGCTGCAAAGGGGCAGGTAGACTGAATTTTTGGAGTACATGCCCACTGTGCCCCTTGGTTCCTATGCCTTTGCTTGACTTTAACATATCATTGATGCCTTGACTGATATATCGGACATGGGAGCAAACGTAGGTAGCAATCTGAAATTTGTTCAGCATGATCAGCTCCTCTTTAGAGAACTACCTCTTTGGTTTTCGATTTTGGATCTAAAACATCAACCAAAACTTGTGATTCTACCATAGGGAACATTTTCTAGAAAACCAAGATTTAGCAAAAAACTAAAATGGCTACATGTTTTGGATAATTGGCATCATTTCTGATCAACGCTCTGGCATTATACACTCTGAAAAGTGTCAGAAAAAAGCTTTAATATGTCAAAATGTTTGCTTTTTCAATTTTCAAAAAGTCATTTTCAATTCTGTACAACCAAACAAATGTTTCAAAGTCACCAATTAAATACCTCTTGCATATAAAGAGAATAACTTTGAACTTTTTTGTGGTTAATTTTTCAAAAGAATCATGTAGTTAATTTCAAACACAATGTTTGCAAGAAGGTAATGATATATTAACATACATGAGTGTCTGGGTGTTGCAAACATGTTATTCAGATCTCTTGATGGCCTCACATGTGGATCAAATAAAATTCCTATGATGATCTACAAACAAAAGAAGAGAGGATAAAATCAGGTAGTAAATTGCAAGAGCATAAATTATGCTACTATGATACAAAATGTTACAAAGCTACATTAAATAAGAATGAAAGATCCTACCCCCTCCCCAAAAAACCGAAAAGTTCCCTCGGAGAGCAAGCAGGGCCATTCAACTGTTCTTGACACAATGAGCAAACTTGGACATCTCTTTGATAGTTCAATTTAGCTTAGCTTAAAAGAAACTTGAGCTTTAACTGATATTTTTAGTGAAAATATTTGCTCATACTTCAGAAAATAACAGACTTCTATTTAAGCACAAGAAAGCTTGCCATTAAATTATAGAGGGCTTTTAGTCATTAAACTCAATTCTGAAAATCTAGTTTACCTATACATACACTACCAGGACAAAAGTATTGCAACACCTGCGAAGGCGATTAATGGCAGATCACACAATAATTTTCGTTGTTGTCTAGTTAAGCTATTGTTTAATCAGCCAATAGCGCGCAAATAAAATTGCAAATTCAATGATGCGCTAATTCGAATATTCCATTTTCATTTTTCAAAATTTTAAATCAGCAATTCAAGTAACTTTTAATTAAACAGACATTTTGTGGAGGTGCTTCTGGCTCTGATAAGTACGGAAAATTGCTTTGGAATTGATGCACAAATTTGTTGATGAAATGCACTGGGATCCTGTTTCATTTTCAATAAACTCTCTAAGTCAGTTTTTGTTTGGGCCTTAGAGAATCTTGTGGATTTCAAATCAGATCATTTTTATTGGCAAGAAGAAATATTCGCTTATTTTAGGTTAGGTCTTTGTGATGGCCGAGGAAGGACATAGAGTTTGCAGATTTTCAGGTAAATTTGAGTAAAAATGGCCTTGTAAGGGGGATGTATTGCTTTTTATGATAAAAACTGCCTTCCTCATTTTTCTAGCATTGATTTGATTCCACCAAAGAAACTGTTTTGCATTATTTTGACATGTTTCACTGCATTAACTCGCACGTCACTAGTTCATGATTTACTAATTTATATGGGCCTAACTGTACCCAAAAAATTACCCAAGTTAAGTTGAAAAATTTCGGGGCTAAGGAAGTAGCGAATATTGACTTGATTTGTTGTTTCCTGATCTTTGACTATTTTGCTTTCATTTTCTGTAAAAAAGTTTCGAAATCATTAGAAGTAAAAGACCAGTTACACGAAGTTTATCACAACTACTAACTCCTTATGCTCTCAATATTTTGATTTTACCACTGCAGATATTTTTTCTTATAACTGTAAGATTTCTTAGGTTAATATTGTAATTCTGAGTATTTCGAAATCCTCGATAAATTTCAAAGAATTTGACTACTGGTTTAGCCTGATTTTTTTCTCTTTTAAGGGGAATATTTCAGCGTAAAGATATTAGTTTACAAAACTTCAATTTTTTTGGATGCCATTTTCGCTTGGGTGTTGCAATACTTTTGTCCTAGTAGTGTATACATGTAGATACAGTTGCTATGTGAATGCATAAAGCAGGGAACTCAGAGCAGCAACTTTCCTATTCTATGCACCTAACAAATTCGTTTGTGTGTTGTGAATACTTGAATACTTTCAAAAATACTGATTTGTAAGTGCATAAAAATACCAATTTGTTTAGAAAAAAGAATGTCAATTGAATGAATATCAATGGAAAGTTTTACAAAATTGAATTACATTTGCAAAACTCTAACAAAAAAGGTAAACAAAACTAGAATAGAGATTATTAGAGCAAATTTGCTCTGATCAAACAAGAAACAAACCCCAATGCCACCAAACAAATCAATCAACTGTGATGATCTGCTAAACCCAGGAATATAATTACTGCCATCATCTTTCTGCCTTCTTCTAAACAACATATTGTCTGAAGATTGAATACCATGCAGTTTCTAGAAAACAAGGACAATTTAAAAATTTTCTTAACTTGCATATGGAATACTTTAGCCATAAATGTGAACAATTTTAGATATTTTCAAATAATGCAATGTAAAATTTCCTCATGGGACATCGATGTAGATCAGAGGTATCACAAACAACTGGGGTCTCTTTGGCTCATCTTTTATGGTCAAAAGTTTGAATGAGATTACAACAATTTAGATCTCTTTCTCTATACCTGCCTTTATTAATGGCTTGAGACATTAAGCAATTAGACATGTGTAAAGCTATCACTATCCATTTTGATGAACAATGCTGGGGGAAAAGCTGAATATTCATTTTTAACTGAACAATACAAAAAGTAAAATAAATTCATAGATAATGTTTAAAAAGAAACACAAGACAAACATTTACAGTTGGACCATATTAATGTACTATGGTTTTTTCCATGTCAATTATATTGAAATAGCAAAGACATTGATACCTTGAGTAAATCAACAGTTGAGTGACAAGATGCTTCATCTCCATTAATAAAACATGATGAGAGCTGTCTCAGAATAGTTGGGATGCCCCTGGTGGTAAACTTTGATTCTAAACTCTTCAGATATTGAGTTGAAATCTAACAAAACAAAGAAATCAGCATTCAATCAATCAATTAGTCCATAGCCTGTTAGCCAGTTGGTGCACCTACTGCTTGATGTTTGACCATCATGACAGCTCCCTGTTCTGCATGTGATCCCAGGGTACATTTCATGACAACTGTACACTGAAGCTCCACTGCAGCATTTGTTTAGGTATGCCAAAAATATGAGCAGTTAGCCAAACTTATTGTAGGCCAAAAAACTGATTAATAGAAAAAAATGTGGTCAATGAGTCTTTATTATTATTTTTTATGTCAAAAATGTACACAGCTTCCTGTTTTTGACAAGTTTTATGCACAAGTTTTATGTAGAAATTTTTCATTGGTTTGCACCCCGAATGCTGAAAAAACATGATTGTATACCAAATATCTTAGGGCCTAAGTACATGAGATGCACCCTGGATGATATGGTGACATTCCTGCTCACCGAATCAGCATTAACAATTGCTTAATCAGGCCTGGCCGTTTGTATTTTTATAGGTGAGCTGTGAATCGCTCCCCTCATTTGCTGAGGCGAGCTAAATCAGTAACACATAGAATGTACTTTAAAGACAATCAACAGATGACTTAATAAGCCCCTTTAGTATCTATCAGTTGCCTTTAAACAGTCTTGAAGTCAAGGAGTATGCTGTTTTACTTCTTTCAATTTGTATTTGCTTTAACCGTGACTTTGGCACCCCTTTTACTTGAAGTATTTAAAAGAGCAGGCTCTTTCAGTTTTATGTAAAACTGGCACAACACAAATTAAAATGGCTTTAAAAAACAAATTTTGAAACAAACTTAATTATACATCTAGCACTCTTCAGAGAATAAAACATCAGAACATAGATGGAAAACTCTACGCTAAAATACCCAGTTTTGGATCGAAATAGGCCATCAGAAAACGCGAGGACATGTCTGTTGAGGTTTTCCAATAAGTGCCGCTTTTCTATTTGAAATGTTACCAACGGAGTCCTAAGGTGAAAACGAACTTACTTATGTCTACTCAAAAGCAGTCGGCCATGTTTATATAGTAGATAGATTCACAAACTGCTAGATGGAATGATGATCAGGCTTTGCCAATAATGCGAAACATGTCGCCGTTATAGTTTTTCACCCAATCTGGGTTTTTCAGTAAATGCTGCTGGATAGTGGAATTCCATGTTTTGGTTGTCGTTTTTGATTCGCAAAACAGAGTACCTTGTTCTCTTTGAGGGATAGTTTTGTTTCTATTCCTAGAAGGGACCTGCTGTCTTATTATATCCCCAATCTACAATTCCTACCAATTTCTTCGACATTCCTTCCAAAAATATTCCTGTTTTCTTAAGATTGAAAGGTTCTAATCACTACAAACGTACCTTTCGGTTAAATATCCTTTTCCAAATAGATCGAAGTTTATGCCTATCATAACAAAAACCGCCCAACAAGCAAAAAGTTAATTGCAAAAAAATGCAATGACGGGAGAAATCGCTGTTACAAAAATAAACCAATTAACCCTTGTACGTTTTCAGGGTTCTCTGCATAGAAAAAAGGCAAATGAATGGAAATTTTAGGGGAGCGATTCTCCCTTCATGTTCTGTTTAGGAGACCAATTCATAGCTCGCCTCAGGTTGCGAGGGGAGCGTGGAGGCGAGCGCGAGCTATCGCTCGCCTCAAACGGCCAGGCCTGCTAAATTGCTAAAAAAAATTGCTAAATATAAAGGATCACATCCTAAAATGAAAACTTCAGAAAACACTTTTCTAATGGTGTTTTTATTCGGTTCAAACCACTAAAGTTTCAATCAAGCAACCTTTCAAAAATGTTCGCATCAGGTCCAGACTCTGTGGGATAGAGTAAATTTCAATAGATATAAGCCAGGGAGGAGCCCCCCCCCCCCAAAAATTCATTGAGCCAATTGACCCCCGTTGGCACTTCAATTTTTGAAAAATTTTCAGCAATGTCGGCACTTTCATAACTTCCACTTCATGATTTTTTTTTCTCATTGTTTGATTTTTTTTCAATTTTTTTCCCATATTTTGAACTAGAATTACCACAGCAGAAATGGTGTTATATTACATCTTTGTGGGTGGTTCACTCACTGTCGGCACTCTGACATTACAGACCCTCCAGCATTTTATTTCTGGCGCCATCCCTGATATAGGCAGATCACCATCTATAAAGTTTTCCCCAGAAGCTTAAAGCTTTACTCTTTTTAAAAATACTACCAATACTGCTATAAATAATTTCTTCTTCGTTTTTATCAATTTGTATCTAATGAACAAAATAGTAATGAACATAAGTAATAAGTAAGCAACTAGTTTGAAAATATTGGAAAAGGAAAACATAACTTTTTCGCCACCAGAAGCTAGAGCATTATACTAGGGTATATAAACAATCAGGCATAAGTAAGTTTGTCATAGATAATTTCAAGGAAAAATTGAACATACAGACGAGCTATGGATCTTTGAACCTCTACCAGTTATCTGTGACCCAAAGATCTGGAAGTAAATATTTTGGCTTTTCTTTTCCTGGATACTCATTTGTCTTAGCTGCTTCCCCAATTCCGTCATGATGACATTCTATTTTACGTCATTCAGTTTGTATTTCTCGAGATAAATAAGCTTTAATTTTAAAAAAGCTGATCCCTGGAAGCAAACTTTTCGCAGCTTTATCTTGTGAGCGTCCAATAACTATACATCAGCATCCATTTTTGAAAGGACTGAAGCTCAAAAGAGTCATTCAAAAAGCGACACAGCGACGGTCTCTTCCGCGACATGGAATCTTCACAAACTGTGGTCACAATAAATGACTAATGAAATTTTAGCAACAACATTGTAAATATATTTATTGTCAAGCTATTTATTGTCTTTTGTTAGCTGTGTTCACCTAAATCGTCTTCTTGTTTACGGTACAACATCCAAGTTCTGCAATATTTATTAGTTACTGAATTTCGTTTTTGGTGCCTCGTCTCTACAATGAGGCTACGAGGTCCTCTAGGAGCATTTTGACCTTTACGGATTTACGGACAGAAGATCTTTCCGTAGGTTTTTTTAGGAGATTAATAGACCAGGCGAGGAAGGGGGGGGGGTATCGTCACCCATCGAGGGAATTTGCAAGACCAACTCTATTTGTTCAATTTCGATACGCTGATTACGAAAATCGATGTTATACGGGTAAATTCGGTACCTGGAAGCCTCTTTTTTGACGTTCAAACCTCGTTTTCGTCCAAATTTGAACGTTGAACGAAAGTTTGTAAATGAATCGATTTTTATCAAGTTTGATGTGCTGATTTCAAAAAGTTATTTTATAAATGTAAATTCAGTACCAGGAAGCCTCTATTTCATGTTCAAACCTCATTTTCATCAAAATTTGAACGTTGAAAAAAAGTTTGTAAATTTTTTATTCTCATCAATTTCGATATACTGATTCCGAAGGTTGATCTCATACGGCGGAATTCTGTATGCACTGGTCCCTTTTTCATGCTGAAATCGTTTATTTATCGTTTTCAATATTTCTAGAGTAAAGTCTGCTGCGCACATAAATTTGCTTTAAAAGCTTAAAAAAGATTATGTCAAAAGACAATATAATACGGCTAATAATCATTTAAAGTTGTAAACAATCTTTTGGTGGTACAAAACTTGAAAAAGGCTTTGAAAAAAGAAAACAATTAGTAAACTAAAGCTTTTCGTCTGTTACTCTTCAGAGTTTAAAATGTCAGAACATAGGTCGAAAAATCTACGCTAGGAAATATATATACCCAGTTGTGGATCGAAATAGGCCAATCAGAAACAGGAGCACATGACTGTATAGGTTGACCAATCAGTGCCGCTTGCCTATTGAGAATGTTACCAATTGAGTCTTAGGTGAAAACGAACTCCTTTTGTCTACACAGAAGCGGTTTTTTCGAGCTTATGTAGATAGATTCCAAAACTGCTATGTAGAACGACGATCGGGCTTTACCAATAATCCGAAACATGTCGCCATTATAGTTTTTTGCACAATCTGGGTTTCCAGTAAATGCTGACCGATAGCAGAATCGCAGGTTTTAGTTGTAATTTTAGATTTGCAAGACCGAGGTGGCTGTTCTCTTTGGTGATGGGTTTTGTTTCTAATATTAGACGGAACATGTTGTTTTGTTCTATCCTCCAATCTTTGGGTAGTGCGTCCTACGTAGCCAGAATCACACTGGCACGTAAATTCATATACAACGGAACTTTTTTGTGTGGCAGGAACGCAGTCATTTTGAATGGACGGAAGGGCCTTTTTCGTACTATAAACAACACGTGGGTTGACTGCAAAGAAACAATTTGCAATGGCCTGTTTTATTTGGCTTGCAAAACGTAGGGAACTGTCACCGATCCAGGGTAGTTTTAGATAGACCGGGCACTTTTGAGGACCAAACTTTACGTCATCCGAGAAATTTCCTATCTTCTCCTTAATGTAAACTGAAATAACATCCTCTGGATAGCCGTTCTCCAGAAAGATCTTAGTTAGTTTTTTCACTGCGCTACTTAAATTGTCATACATAAAATTTATTCAGTGGTCTTGCTTCATGCTGTCTATCATATCAACATTGTCTTCAATTAAAAGGCGAGCAATAGTTGGTCTTCACGCATTCTCCGACATCGATTATGTGTCCATGATTTCCAAAAAAAAGGGAAAAAGTCATTCTGAAAAGCAATGTTAAAGCGCAACGAATTCGTGAGCACTTTTGCAAGGCTTGGAACAGATGTCCAGCCCATCCAAATGCTATCGAGGTCCTGGAGAAGTTTACATGCTTTCTTTACGGTTTTTCAACAACTGTCACCAAGGCCAATGGCGCCTGCTCAAAGAGTTTCTGGAAGATTTTTGACTAAAGGGACAGTTGTTGACCTTAGTTTGATGCAACCGTGTGTTGCCAATCTACAATTGCACATAGCTATATCAGCTTATGCTGCAAACATTTACAGGAATGCAGATCAGTTGCAATTAAGCATTGGCAGTCCAGTTGATCATGGTTGGGATGCAGCCGGTAACGCATCGTGGAATAAAGACATATACCTGGATAATAATGCCGAGCTGCTTCTAAATATGAATCAAGATGCTGAATAAGACAATACTGACTCAATGAATGACAATTGCTTTGAGGATGAGTATAGCAATGACTCTGATGACAACGGATACTAGAATGTTTATTCAAAACAACTTTAAATGGCTTTGAAAAAAGCAAACATTTTACAACATACTAAAAGCTTTTTCGTCTGACACTCCTCAGAGCATAAAACGTCAGAATAGGTTCCGAAAAAACACGTTTGAAAAATATATACCCAGTTGTGGATCGAAATAGGCCAATCAGAAAAACGCAAGCACAAGACCGGTATAGTTGACCAATCAGTGCCGCGAGCCTAAAGAAAAATTACCAATGGAGTCCAAGAGAGAAAACGAACTCCTTTTGTCTACACAATGGCGGCTTTATGTAGATTGACTCCAAAACTGCTAGATGGAAGGACGACCGGGCTCTGCCAATTATCCGAAACATGTCGTCATTATAGAGTTTTGCACAATCTGGGTTGTCTAAAAGATGTTGACCAATGGCAGAATCACTTGTTTTAACAGTGTTTCTAGACCTACAAGATCGAGGAGGCTGTTCTCTTTGAGGGGCAGTTTTGTTTCGTATGTTGGAAGAAACATGCTGTTTTATCCTATCCCCCAATCTTTGGGTTGTGCGCCCTACGTAGCCAGAATCACACTGGCACGTAAATTCATAAATGACGGAACTTTTTTGTTTGGTAGGGACGCAATCCTTTTGAATGGATGGAAGGGCTCTCCTAGTGCTGTAAACAATCCGAGGATTGACAGCAAAGAAACAATTGGTTATGGCTTGCCTAATTTGACTCTCGAATCGCAAGGAAGTGTTACCAATCCATGGTAGTTTCAAATAAACTGGGCACTTTTGCGGACCAAACTTTTGAACAGCCGAAAAACTTGCGATCTTCTCCTTAGTATAAGATAAAATGACGTCTTCAGGATAGCCGTTGTCCAAGAAGATCGTTTTGAGTTTTTCCAGTTCAGCGTGCAGTTTAGATTTCGAGCAGATCATAAGTGCCCTATGTACTAATGTTTTGACAAGGTTGACTTTGCGTTGTTTTGGCAAAATGAATTCCAGCGTATGTACTGACCGGTAAAAGTAGGCTTGCGATATACACTGGTAAGAAATCCAGTGTTAGACTTTTCGACCAAAACATCTAAAAATGGTAAGGAATCATTTTCTTCCTTTTCAAACGTAAACTGGAGGGCTGGGTGTAGGCTATTTAGGTGTTTTAGAAAAATATCACACTCAGCCTCTGTTTTGAAAATGTTATATGTGTCATCCACATACCGAAAATAGACACCTGGCTTTTGGTCGTAGTCGAACAAACGCTCTTCATGAAAGCCAACAAAGATATTGGCCAAGGCAGGTCCCAGAGGGCTACCCATAGCGACACCATCCTTTTGTTGGTACATTTCATTGTTAAAACTGAATTCAACTGAACGTGTTGCAGTTTCCATCAGTTCAATGAATACTTCCTCTGGGAATGGTGCTCGCTCCGGTACAAAGCGTCGGCACATATTTTGATGGTCGCACTCGAAGGAACATTTGTGAAAAGACTACTAATGTCGAAAGAACACATGAAAGATGTTTCGTTTTCGATGTTCAAGTTTTGCATGAACTCAGCGAACGTAAAAGAATCCTTGATGCAATGTTTTGAATATTTTTGAAGAACAGGGTCCAAAACTTCAGAAAGCCACTTAGCCAGTTCGTGTTGTGCTGAGCCAACCATAGACAAAATTGGTCTAAGTGGGACGTTCGGCTTGTGTATTTTAGGGAGGCCATACATTTGTGGTCGTTGAGAGCCCGTGGGTCTTATCCTATCATAAATTTCTGTAGCCAACATTTTTGAGTTGACCAGTTCCAACAAACGTTTTTGGAGTTTCCGCTCTAGTTTGGCCGTTTTGTCATGTGTTTCGACATCGCCCAATTTAGCAAATTTTTCTTTGTCGTGGAGAATTACCTCCATTTTATTGATGTAGTCCTTTTTGTTTAAAATTACCACTCCAGACCCTTTATCAGGTTTTGTAATAAAGATGTCATTGTTAGCCCGTAGAGATTTTAGTGCTTGGAAATGTTCTCTATGCAAAAGAAAATCTGAGTGGTCGATGGGAGAGCCGCTGTAAGCGTACGCCAAATCGCTTAGTCGTGCTCGTAATTTGTTAAACTCCAAAGGGTTAGAAATCTCGTGCTTAGCAAGTTGAGCGTGTAAAATTTCGAATTCAGCAAAGAGTTCCTCTCTGTTGATTGTTAGGGGTGGGATACAAAATTCAAGTCCATTACCTAAGACAAATGTTTCAGTATCAGAGAGAGAATAATCCGATAAATTAAAAATATGTTTTTTGGTGTCGCTCAACATGCCACCGAAACGTTTCCTTACTAGCAAGCCAATATTCCTATTGTGTTTTTCCGTGGTATGTTTTAGTGTCCGCTGGTCAATTTTAGTGTCCGCTGGGCTGTTCAAAAGTTTGGTCCGCAAAAGTGCCCAGTTTATTTGAAACTACCATGGATTGGTAACACTTCCTTGCGATTCGAGAGTCAAATTAGGCAAGCCATAACCAATTGTTTCTTTGCTGTCAATCCTCGGATTGTTTACAGCACTAGGAGAGCCCTTCCATCTATTCAAAAGGATTGCGTCCCTACCAAACAAAAAAGTTCCGTCATTTATGAATTTACGTGCCAGTGTGATTCTGGCTACGTAGGGCGCACAACCCAAAGATTGGGGGATAGGATAAAACAGCATGTTCCTTCCAACATACGAAACAAAACTGCCCCTCAAAGAGAACAGCCTCCTCGATCTTGTAGGTCTAGAAACACTGTTAAAACAAGTGATTCTGCCATTGGTCAACATCTTTTAGACAACCCAGATTGTGCAAAACTCTATAA